TCTGTAAATTATTTTGGTTTTATCTTTGTTATCTTTTTGTTTAGTTTCCTCTTCTTCATATTTTTTTTTCTCTCTTTGTTTTTTAACTTACAGTACTGCTTCTGCAAGTTGTTTTGTTTTCTTTTCAACATTTTTGTCATTATTGGTACTGTTTTATTAAGTTTTTCAGATCACTCTTTCTATTTTTTCTGATCAATACTTTTTTATTTAAAGTTTGTTTATATTGTCTGTCAATTTTTTCATTCTGTTTTTTCCACTTTATTTTTTTTCCAAGTCTTTTTTTCCCAAAAATTTAAATTTTTTCAATCATTCTGTTTTTAGGATTTTTTGTTTTTCTCTATGTCTATGTATTCTTATATTAGCAGATTAGAAGGAATTTGAAATAAAATCAGAACAGTTGAATTATATAGTTCATTGACAAGGTCTATTAGTTTTACAAATTATAATGTAAGTACAAAACATATCTGTTTCCTGAATTTCTGTTTCTGTTTTTTTTAATTTTTTTTGTTTTCCTAAAAGGAGAAATTTTACTTCTTTTCAAACCTTTCTTAGTTTTTAGCACTTTTTTTTCTATTATAGTTTTCTGTTTCTGTGAAATAAAATAAATATGTTCGCTTTTCTGAATTCCTCTTTATTAAATTTTTCTTACATTATTTTTGCAAACAAAATAAAAAACCCAAAATGAAAATTTCGTTCGAGTGGATCCAGGTCGGGTCCGTGAGCCGCTCCGGGCGAATGTTTGCTTTGATACCATGTGTGGTCTCGATAAAAACGATAGTACCAATAAAATGGTAATGGCCTCGACGATCAGACTGCGAGGCACCATCGATGGGTACAAAAAAGCACCGTTCACCGCAGCCATGGTACAGGTGGATTGCGGTATGCGTGGGATTTTATACGGGGGGTGTGCCGGAATTTCACTCCAAAAATTGGGGAATTTTTCGGTTGCTAGTTTTATTTTTATTATCAACGGTTCGTGACCCTCGACATTGGACTATAAATAACCGACAGTTATTAAATTATCACTACTAAAAACGGAAAATTTTAATAAATAAAAAACACTCGCCAAGCTCGTCCATCACGCTCGATTTTTCACACCTACACCTACTTGATTCAATTACAAAACGGTATTTATTGCAAGCATAAAGATGTCTACAAAACACCATTCAACGCCTGTCTTCTTTTTGCCGACGATTTCACTTTCATTCAATTTTTTTGCCCATTTAACAATCTTAAGAGTGATTAGTTGGCGTGAAAAATTGTTTTTGGAACTTTAAGAATCAACCCACGTTGTTATCGAATTACGACACGATCATCGTACAAAATTTATGGTCAAAATCTCCATAATTATAAAAGCGACGAGAATGCTGATAGTGCGTCCTAGGTGTGTCATTATTTCCATTCTACGAACATGAAATTGAATCTGAGATCACAATAAAAAGCACACAATACGAAGCGATTGTCGAAAAAATCAGAAAAAAATTCTGTATGTGCCACTTGTGAGATATTTATCACCGATTATGTGGCAAAACAGGTGTTAGGCTTGAGGCATGGCTTGAAAAAATGTTGTACCAATTTGGGACTTTCTTACCGTTGGTTTCGCATTGGTCCGATTCGTTGACGACTTCGTTTCCGGTCGGTGGACTATTGTGGATTTTTTTGATCCGGTGGAGGAAGCTGCCCAACGGGTATTCCCCGGAGGATTTCTCCGCCGGCTCGATGTAGTAATTGTCGTGCGAAGTGCGGATGTAGCCGGTCTGAAAAATGAAGATAATTGGCGGTGATTTATGGCCGAACGTTTTTCATTGTTAAAGGGGCGTTTCCGGTCAATCCGGAAGCTTCAAACACTCTGTATATAAAAAAAATGTTATTTTTTTCTTTGCGAGGCGAAAAGATTTATTCCCCTTGTCACTTCTTCTCCGAAGCCATTAATTTTAATTTTGAAAGCGATTCTAATCCTATTTTTTACCAGTCAGTAGTGTTTTAAAACCGGCCCCTCGTACATAAATCAAATTTTTAACTACAGAGAGTTTAAAATGCAATAAAATGTATTCTTTTATTCGATGAAAGTGAGGTTTTATGAGCCAAGACGTGAATGTGGGGACTAAAAAAATTAAATAAAGCTCTTTACGACTTTATTAAACCAAACAGAATGGTGCTATTTTTATTTTTTGAATAAAAAATACAGGGCAAAAATTATCAAATTAACCACAATATTTTAAGCTCTATCTTTTTCATAAGTTCTATTAGATGATCTTTTTCGAAAACTGTATAGAATTTTACAATGATGAAAAAAATCTTAAAACTTAAAGATCTCATCGCTTCAAAAAAAAACCAAAAATAATTAAATATTCCTAGTCTTGGAATGTGGATTCTAAATTTTTAGAATTTTAGGGGCTTGAAAATCTTTAAAAATCCTAGATCTTTAAATTTTTAGTCTTATTAGAATCCTAAAAGTCTAAAAATTATATTTTAAAATGTTATTTCGAAAAAAAAAATTAAATTTTGTTCAGAATTCTACAATCGTGAAATTTTAGAATCTTTAAATCTCAACATTCTTAGATTCGTGGAATTCATATACAGGATTGTACATTGATGATATATTCTAGAATTCTAAAAACAAAATTCTTCAAGTTTTCATATATTTAGAATCGTGGTTTAGAATTTTGTGTCTAAAACTTGGAAGATTCAATTTTTTTTCTGAAAAACCTAGATTTTTAAAATTTCATCATTTTGGAATTTAGAAAAACCTTTAAAACTTAGAATTTTATAAAAACTAAAGATCTATAAATTTTCATATTCTTGGATTCCTGGATTTCAAAATTTGAGAATTTGAGAATCCTGAATTTAACATATTTAAAATTTTTAAATTTCGAATCTAAAAATTGTAGATTATTAAAACTTAATAATCTTAAAAACTTAAAAATCTTCAAAAACCCATAATTTTAGAAATTTGAATCATGGATTATAAATTTTAGTTTTGATGGAAGTCTAAAGTTCTTAAATATCAAATCTCGAAAACCTGAAGATTTTAAATTTTCGTATCTTGGATTCCTGGATTCCAAAATCTGAGAATCTCGAAGCTTAATAAATATCTTAATTTTAGAATCTTGAATCCTTCAAATATTCAAAATTTTAAAATTTCGAATCTCAAAATCTTAGATTATTAAAAC